TACACGCTGTTTGGTTCTCTTTTTATGCTTCTTTCATTTCTTGCCATTTATTATAATGTAGGATCTACAGATTTTCAGGTAATTTCACTTTCAGAAATCAATCTAGATGCCCAAAAACTTCTATGGCTGGGAATTTTCATTAGTATGGCTGGAAAAACTCCACTAGTACCTTTTAACACATGGCTTACTTATGCTCATTCAGAAGCACCTGTCGGAGGTAGTATTGTACTGGCTGGTGTTATTCTAAAACTAGCTACATATGGGTTCCTACGTATTATACTACAATTTCTACCAGATGCCACATCTTACTTTTCGCCACTTGTGCAACTTTTTGCCGTAGTTAGTATTATTTACGCAAGTCTAAGCACACTGCGACAAACTGATTTTAAAAAGCTCGTAGCTTACTCTAGTGTAGCTCATGCTGCTACTATTGTTCTTGGACTCTTTTCAAATACTATTCAGGGTATTGAGGGAGCGATTATACTAGGACTTGCCCATGGTCTAGTAAGTCCAGCACTTTTCTTTCTAGTAGGTGGTGTTCTATATGATAGATACCATACCCGAACAATTCGCTATTATAGAGGTGTAGCAACATATATGCCTCTTTTTGCCCTGTTTTTCTTCCTATTCACAATCTTCAACGCGGCAGTACCTCTAAGTGCTAATTGAATTGGAGAATTCCTTTCTCTAGCAGGTATTTTTCAACGAAATCCTATTATTGCTCTACTTGCTTCAAGTAGTATTGTCCTTAGTGCGGCGTATAGCATTTGGCTATTTAACAGAATTACTTTTGGAACATGGTCTCCTTACCTAAACTATACAACAGATATCGGACGACGAGAATATATGATTCTACTGCCACTACTAATTCTCACAGTACTTCTAGGTATGTATCCTAATGTTGTACTAAATGATATTCATAATAGTGTGTCGTCTCTAATTTATGTATAATTTAGACATTTTTCCCTTTTATAAGAGCTGAATGGTAAAAATATATCAATTTATTCTATGAACAATATGATAAAATGTTTCTTTATGTCAATTTACAGTGTTCTCACTATTCGTAATGGTTTTACGGAAGCTGTTAATCTACGAGGTATTTTTCACTCTTACCCTAACATTGGTCATGGTTAATCAACAGAATCTGGAAGCTACGGCTTCATAAGTACAATTTGGGTCCATTCACTCTATACACTAGTTTTATTCTTTCATTTGTAAGAATTGCTACGGATTATCGTATAGGAACTAGTGTTTAATGAGTATCTCCCTAAAGAATCGAGTTATAGATGGTTTTCTATTGAAGAACTGCAAATTCTTTCATTTAGGGTTCGATTCCCTCTTGATTCTTATCTGCAATGTTTCTATTGTACA